TGGAGTATCTTGCATTTGTCACTGTTGAACTTCATTTTGTTAGTTTTGGCCCATCTCTCTAATCTGTCAAGTACTTTGGCCACATCATGAGAAGACAGGAAAGTTTGGAGAAGAGAATAATGCTGGAGAAAATTGAAGGAAAAAGGAAGAGGGGCCGACCAAGGGCAAGATGCGGCCAAAGTACACCCTCCCCAAAGACATTAGACTAGCACCCACATTGACAGTCTTCAGGAAGAATCTGAAGACCTGGCTATTCCGATGTGCCTTTCCGGAATAGGATAATCTCCAGCACTACGTCCCAGAAGCACTTTATTAGTGTTTAAGACTCTCTGCACATTGCACTTGCCCAGAAATCCAACATACCTCCTGCCACACCCAGCACTTTTTAACCTGTACCCATCACTGGCCCGGCCCTGGTTTTTATTGCGTAATGATGTAATGCTTTGTTATTGCTCATGTTTTTAATTTGCTTTAAATTGTATTGTTATTGTTTTGCTGTTGTTGTGGTGAGGCCTTGGCCTTTGTAAGCCACATGCGGGAGATGCTAGCGGGGTACAAATAAAGTTTAATAATAATAATAATAATAATAATAATAATATGGATGGATGGTATCCTGGAAGTGACCGGCTTGACCTTGAAGGAGCTGGGGGTGGTGACGGCCGACAGGGAGCTCTGCCGTGGACTGGTCCATGAGGTCACGAAGAGTCGGAAGAGACTGAATGAATAAACAACAACAACCATTGGCATTGCTGGGAGGACCCAGGACCACCCTTTTCCCATCCTTGTTTTAACTTTTAGATTGCCTTGGGACCTTCAGAATACAAAACAACTGATCAGAACTGAAGTCTGTCCATGGTCCTGAAACAAGAACACAAGGCTCACCCGGTCACTCCATTCCGTAAGAAACCAACTCTTGGCGCAAGGGCCCATGTCGCAATTCTCGATGTCATTTGGGCGTAGCTTCATGTTACATTCCTCATCGTCCACAACGTCTCCAAGGTTGCTGACACATTTCACATCTCGGGTCCGCTGACCTACCCCACATGGCACTGAACACTAAGAGAAGAAGAAATGACAACCGTTAGGTGGAATCTGTGTAATAAGAATTTCAATGTGCAAATTTGATAAATGTGAATTTAATATGATGTGAGGAAATGAATGGAAGAATGGAAGATGAATGTATGGATGGAACTAATAATTTTTGGAGACACCAGTATTACAGTTATAGAATCACATTGCAAAAGAGGGGGCATTGTCAGTAGGGCTGGGTAACCACGGAAAAATTTGTTTCTAAACTCGATTCGTTTTTAGGGGGTTTTTGCGTTTCGTTTTTGAAAAGAATTCCAAATTTTTTCTTTAAAAAAGTTCGAAATATACGAAATTTCGTAAATTACGAAACAATTAATTACGAAACAACAAATTTGCTACCGGGCACAATTCAAGGTGCTGGCTTTAGCCTATAAATCCCTACACGGTTCCGGCCCCACTTACCTCTCCGAACGCATCTCCACCTATGAACCGGCGAGGACTTTAAGATTGTCCGGGGAGGCCCTGCTCTCGGTCCCGCCGGCGTCACAAGCGCGGTTGGCAGGGACGAGAGACAGGGCCTTCTCGGTGGTGGCCCCTCGGCTATGGAATGCCCTACCAGTGGACATCAGGCAGGCCCCTTCGTTGCTGGTGTTTCGGAGGAGGGTGAAGACGTGGCTCTATGAACAGGCATTTGGATAACTATGCAATGACAACCAACTCAGTAAGACGGCATTTGAACAAGGAACGGAAAAGGACTGTGAGATCGGGATCTGATTCTAATTGAGGCGTTGATGAATATGTGTGTTGTTTGTGTATGTGCGTCTTATATATTGTTCAGTGTTGCCTATTTTTATTGTAAACCGCATTGAGTCGCCGTCTCAGGCTGATAAATGCGGTATACAAATGGAGTAAATAAATAAATAAATAAATAATTACGAATTGATTACAAATCGATTCGTTAATGGCAGACGCGATTGCGCAATATGCAAAAAAAACCTTCCAAACGGGACAGGGGGAACTTCTGAAGCTTCCCTCTCCCTCTGTTGTTGACTGTTGGTGTGATAATTTATTTTTTATCACTGATAAAACAAACAACAACCCTAAAACTTGCACCAGACATACGGAAACAATTACGAAACAATTTCGAAACAATTTCGAAACAATTTCGAAACAATTTCGAAACAATTACAAAACAATTACGAAACAATTACAAAATAAATTGAAAAATTTGTTTCGATTTTTAATTGCTCCTGCATGGCTCGATATCGGATCGTAAGCTAATTTAAATAAGAATTAATTACGAATTACGAAATTAACGAACGAAAGCGCCCAGCCCTAATTGTCAGGATTAATTTAGATAGATGTGTGTTTTCAAATGTGTTTCTATGTAATTTCAAGATGGAGTCTACTGTGTGTTAAAAATGCTATGCAGAATGTACATGAGGCTTGAAAGAAATGAGATAATGTATGCTCTAGCTGGGAAGAGAAGGGAGTCACCCGTCTCAGCCAGAGTGAAGAGAGATAAGCAGGTGTGCAGAGAGACTTTCGGTTTTCCACCTTGTCCCTGTTTGTAGCTCACTGTGTTAAGACGTGTGTTTGATGTACTTAGTAAAACTTAGTTTCTTTTGTAACTGAAAGACTGCAGAGTCCTTATTTCGCATCACAGTGTCTGCTGATCTAGCAATCCTTCTGCTGGCAAACATAAACACTCTGACAAAATATTAAGGCCTGCAATGACTAACTATCTGCTTGCTGGACTGTAATTAAAAGTTGCTAATAAGAACTAAAAAGTAAACTCTGATAAGAACTGTGACAATGATAACAGAAATGTTTACAATGTTAAGAAGGAAGTCAACATAAGATCAACACCAATCAAAAAGAATCAACATCTGGTCAGGAAACTGAGATGGATCCAGGATGGAAGACGTCTATCATTAATTTACAACTTTGGGACTAAATCAGTAGAACATTCCTATAAAAGACTCAATCTAATAATTCTCAAGTTGTGACAGACCTGAGGAGTCTGGTTCACCTGCCTCTCTGCTCCATGGGAAGGAGAGAGATGGTGTATTCGGAGAGTGGCAGATTTGCAAGTCTGGTCACTTTGGGGCTTCTTTCTCAAGGGAAGAGGAAGAAGTGTACTGTAGAGAATTGGATTTTGTGCAGAGAGCCAGGTTCTGCTGTATGGAAAACAGAAATCTGGTCCTTGGCATTGTTCTTAGGGAAGAAATTTTGGCATTTTGGAGGTTTGAAGTTATGACGTTATGGAAGTTATGTAACTATATGTTGGCAGGCTGCAGGAAAGCAGGATCTGGCCTAACAGATGCTTCTCCAAGGAGAGAGAAAATGATTTTGTAATATTTCAATGCCCTGTGCCGGCAGGACTGAAGATCAACAGGTCGCAGCTAGGGTTGATTGATCCAAGTTGTAAGTTTCTTAACTCGTAATGAAATCATAAATAAATTACCTTTTGAAGCGATATCAATGCGATTTGGCAACCCGGAAGTGTTTTTGCCATATCGAAGCCACGTCTGCCATTTTCCTTACGACTTCCGCCAGTGAATCCTAAATGCTGGGGGCGTGGCCTTCAGGAAGAGCTGGTCTTACCCATGCCCACCTCCTTCCTCTTTGCATCGGCGGCTTTGCGAGGTGGGCTTGCGAGGTGGGCGTGGCTACTAGGCTTGGGCGATCCAGATCATTATTTTCGTTACTCGTTATTTATTCGTTATTTTTTAATAATTAGAAGCGATATTGACGCGTTTCAGCAACCCGGAAGTGTTTTGCCCATATCGAAGCCACGTCCGCCATCTTCCTTACGACTTCCGCCAGTGAATCGTAAATGCTGGGGGCGTGGCCTTCAGGAACAGCTGTTACCCACCCCCACCTCCTCCCTCTTTGCATCCGCGGCTTTGCTGAAGGCCACGCCCACCTCATCCCCCAGCCATCCATTGCCCTTTGCAGGCAGCCAGGGCAGGGGAACTGTAAGATTTCAAAAGTAATCTTACAGTTCCCCTGCCCTGGCTGCCTGCAAAGAGCAATGGATGACAGGTTAATGAGGTGGGCGTGGCCTCGCCCGGCTCCTCCTGAAGGCCACGCCCACCTCATCCCCCTGTCATCCATCGCTCTTTGCAGGCAGCCAGGGCAGGGGAACTGTAAGATTACTTTTGAAATCTTACAGTTCCCCTGCCCTGGCTGCCTGCAAAGGGCAATGGATGGCTGGGGGATGAGGTGGGCGTGGCCTCGCCCGGCTCCTCCTGAAGGCCACGCCCACCTCATCCCCCAGCCATCCATTGCCCTTTGCAGGCAGCCAGGGCAGGGGAACTGTAAGATTACTTTTGAAATCTTAGTTCCCCTGCCCTGGTTGCCTGCAAAGGGCGATGGCTGGCTGGGGGATGAGGTGGGCGTGGCCTTCAGGAGGAGCCGGGTGAGGCCACGCCCACCTCATTCATGAATCGATTCGTAATTCGTAAATTGGAAATTTCGGAAGTCCTAAAAAACCCAAAACGCCAGTACTCCCTAGAAACGTAACGAGTTTAGAACCAAATTTTTCCTTGATTGCCCAAGCCTAGTGGCTACCTCCCTGGCGACAAGCGGCGATGCGGAAGAGCTGGGCGTAGCCATGCCCACCTCGCAAAGCCCACCTCGCAAAGCCCACCTCGCAAAGCCCACCTCGCAAAGCCCACCTCGCAAAGCCCACCTCGCAAAGCCCACCTCGCAAAGCCCACCTCGCAAAGCCCACCTCGCAAAGCCCACCTCGCAAAGCCCACCTCGCAAAGCCCACCTCGCAAAGCCCACCTCGCAAAGCCCACCTCGCAAAGCCCACCTCGCAAAGCCCACCTCGCAAAGCCACCGATGCAAAGAGGAAGGAGGTGGGCATGGGTAAGAACAGCTCTTCCTGAAGGCCATGCCCCCAGTGGCCGTCAAGAAGAGCTGGGCATAGCCACGTCCACCTCATTCCCTTGCCACCCATCGCCATTCGCAGTCACCCACCCAGGGAAGGGAAACTACGAGATTTTAAATCTAATCTCACAGTTTTCCTACCCTGAGTGACTGCGAACGGTGATGGGTGGCAGGGGAATGAGGTGGGCATGGCTACACCCAGCTCTTCCTGACGGCCACTGGGGAAACCGCATCGCCGCTTGTCGCCAGGGAGGCCAGGGAAACTGCGAGATTTTAAACTAACAGGGGGGAGGGCACCTTCCATTAACGAAGTAAACGAAGCTATTCAGATTTTTGCTATTTCCGATCTTTTTTTCAAGAAAATTTGAGAAATAATTTTAAAATCGAAACGCCAGCGCCCCCTATATACGATTTTTTTTCTTGATCAACCAAGCCTAGTCGCAGGTTCGAATCCGGGCAGAGTGCAGATGAGCTCCCTCTGTCAGCTTTAGCTCTGCATTACGGGGACATGAGAGAAGCCTCCCAAGGATGGTAAAACATCAAAACATTGCTTCTGGTGTGAGAGAATTGACTGTCTGCAAGGACATTGCCCAGGGGACACCAGAATGTTTTACCATCCTTGTGGGAGGCTCCCGCATGAGAAGGTGGAGCTGACAGATGGGAGCTCACCCCTCTCCCCGGATTCAAACGGCTGGTCTTTTGGTCAGTAGTCCTGCTGGCACAAGAGTTTAACCCATTGCGCCACTGGAGGTGCTTATCATGTTACATAGAGTTATGTGAATGAATACATCCTTCTGCAAAAAGGAGGACCTTCTCATTAATGATGGAAAACATTTCAAGGTGCAAATCTGGGCTGTTGCAGTGGTGGCCTTTTAGAGACACCACTGCCATCGTCCCCGAAAAAGACATAAATCTGTTGGGTGTTTTTGGGCGCCATTGTCGCTACAACTCATTCCTGTTTACCGATGTCCATTCTGTCCGAATTTGCCATTCGCTGCAGATCTTCAGCTGGCACGTACTTGTTGTCTCCGGTTTCTCCAGGTGGTGGCAGCGATAAGGCTGGACCGTGAGGCTGCGGTTGGCGTAGATCTGCCGGCACAGGACTTGGCGGTGCTGCATCCCAAGGCCGCAGGTCTTGCTACATTCCGACCACTCCCCTATATCCCAGCTAAGAGAGAGAAGAGAAAACAATGAGGTTACCATCTAATTGGGAACACCAGCCAACACACATTTTGGTGTCTCAAATGTCAAGACCTGTTTGACTTGCTGATTCCAAGAATGACACCAGTTTCCCCCTATCAGCTCTAGATTTTGAGATACAGAACATATTCCATACACCACTTGCCCTCTGTTTGCCCATAGAAAACTACGGTAACCATACCTAAGAAACTAGAACAGATGCAGTCATAGAAGCATAGATTTGGAAGAGACCTCATAGGCCAGTGATGGGCAACCTTTTGAGCTTGGTGTGTCAAAATTCGCCAAAAAACCCCAGCATAACTCAGATGGAGTGTCACTTCGAGAGAAAACATAATAGCTTCCACTATTTCCAATGGTGGGAAACGGAATCCATAGCATACGCCCTCGCCTCTTCAAGACTCCCCTCACTTATCTCAATAAGGATGGTCAATTAGAAATCCAAGACACCCAGAACAGTGGATTGGATGATATAATAATAATAATAATAATAATAATAATAATAATAATAATAATTTTATTTTTATACCCCTCCAACCATCTCCTCAAGGGGACTCGGGGCAGCTTACAAGGGACAAGCCCAAAAATTACAATACATTCTGAAAGGAATGCAAGAGAAGTGCAACAATCAAGTAGGCAGGGCTGGAAATATTGTCATCAAAAGTATTGAGGTAGATAATAAGAGGGCCGATGTAAAGTGTTGAACTTACAGTAGGGACAGGAAAATTACTGGTGGACTACTTAATCAAAAGCACACTGGAACATCCAGGTTTTTAGTTGTCTCCGGAAAGAGGACAAAGTGGGAGCCTGTCTGATTTCCCTAGGGAGGGAGTTCCAGAGCCAGGGTGCCACCACCGAGAAGGCCCTCTCCCTCGTCCCCATCAACCATGTTTGAGATTGCATGTTGAGGGGGAGAGAGCAGTGCCTCCCCAGATGATCTCAAGGTGTGCACAGATTCATAGGGGAATATGCAATTGCAGAGGTAACAGGTCCCGATGGTTGCTGTGGTTATGTGGTTGCTGTTAATGGCGATCACAGGGCCCCCAGAGATGCATCCCCTGTGACATTCCACTGCTCCATGCTCCGCTGGCCAGAAGTAAGGTCAAGGATCCCCTTGTTGGGGTTCAGCCTGATCCTGATCTGTGTGAACAGGATTCTCTGATAGTTTTTCCAACTGAGCAAGCTCTCCCTGACTCTGACAGTGTGGAATCTGTTGTTGATGCAGAGGTCAGTGGGAATGAAAACGAAACCCAACAGCTGGAAGAGAATGTTTTGGAAGTTAGCCGTGATATCTCCCCACCTGGGCTTGATAATGAGGTCCGAAGAGAACAGATAGTGAGAGATAGATTTGTTTCCCAGTCTGTACGAAGGTCACAGCGCCTTCAGCAGAAAGAGGCCCAAACAGAAAAGTCAAGGGGCGTTTCTAAGAATAGCTTCTTTGGTTTAAGAGCATCCCTGCCGGGTGCTTCTTTAGGTCAAGCAACGTTCGGGACTGTGGCTGGTCTTGGCAGAATTCCTGTGTTCCATGGCCAGTAATCCCAGAGGCTTGTAGTTTCCAAGTTCATGGTTAGTAAAAGGCTAACAGACTCCTGGTTATTGTTTTGTGGCTTTTGAAGTTTTGCTCAAGTTCAGAGATCCTATTGACTACTGTGTTTTTCTGTGGCTTTTTTACTCTGCATTTACCTTTCTTTTGTAACCAATTTTTCATCAATAAACAAGGATTGCTTTTCCTACAGTCCAGAGTGGTGGATTTAATCTTATGGTCTTGTTTCTTGAACTGGGATGCAACACCCCTAATGGCCTAACTGGAAGTCCCAGAACTAGATGCTCTGTGCCGGAGTTCTGTTGTTTGACCTACAGACCTCCGGCACAGAGTGTCTATACTACACTACAGCAAATGTTTCATCCTTGGCTCCTGCACCTGGCCGTGTAGGAGTCGAGGATGAAATGTCTTTGGCATGTGGCCCCATACTTCTCTGTATGCGGCCACATGTGGCCGCGTGTCATCAAAAATGGTGAAGTGTGTCAGTGCTGACACGCGTGTCATAGGTTCACCATCACAGTCATAGGCCATCCAGGCCAACCCCATTCTACCAAGAAGCAGGAAAATTGCATTCAAAGCACCCCCAACAGATAGCCATCCAGCCTCTGTTTAAAAGCTTCCAAAGAAGGAGACTCTACCACACTCTGAGGCAGAGAGTTCCACTGCTGAACAGCTCTCACAGTCAGCAAGTTCTTCCTAGTCTCCAGGGCAGCAGAAAACACGCTTGCTCCATCCTCCCTATGACTTCCCCTCACATACTGAAATAATAATGAAATTTTGAAAGTTTTGTATGAGTTCTGAAATTTTCACCACCAGAACTTTAGCAACATGTAGAAGCAAAGCACCAGTGCCCCCTAGTTTTCACAACCAGAACTTTAGTTTTGTAAGTACTTTAGGACCATTTAGAACAGCGGTTCTCAACCTGGGGGTTGCGACCCCCAGGGGGGTCGTTTGGCAATTTTGGAGGGGTCGCGAGGCCGCCTCCTTAGGCCCCGCCCCCAATGCCGCACCCAGCCGAGGGCTCTCCTCGCGCGAAGTCTCCCTCGCGCGAAGTCTCCCTCGGCTGGGCCACGGTCCCGCCTTCCGACAAGGCCGCGATCCAGCCGAGGCCTCTCCTCGCGAGGAGTCTCCCTCGGCTGGGCCGCGGTCCCGACTTTCGGCGAGGCCACAATCCAGCTGAGGCCTCTCCTCGCGAGAAGGCTTCTTTGGCTGGGCCGCGGTCCTGCCTTCCGGCGAGGCCACGATCTAGCCGAGGCAAGGAGAGGCCTGGGCTGGATCGCGGCCTCGCTGGAAGGTGGGACCACGGCCCTGCCGAGGGCTCTCCTCGCACGGAGTCTCCCTCGGCTGGGCCGCGGTCCCGCCTTCCAGCGAGGCCGCGATCCAGCCCAGGCCTCTCCTCGCTCCCCCCTTGGCAGGTTCACGCTATCCATCAGGCCCGATGGACAGCGTGAGCCAGCCAAGGGAGGCTGCTCCGCGTGGTCTACTCACGAGTAAAGCATCTCGCGAGGTGCTTTACTCACAAGTAGGCCGTGCGGACCTGCTCCTCCCTTGGCAGGCTCATGCTATCCGTCAGGCCTGATGGACAGCGTGAGCCAGCCAAGGAAGGCTGCCCCGGCGCTACATGCAGTCATGCTGGCCACATGTCCTTGGAGGTGTCTATGGACAACACCGGCTCTTCGACTTAGAAATGCAGATGAGCATCACAGAGTCAGACACGACTGGACTTCATGTCAGAGGAAAACCTTTAACCAGGAAAATTGTGGAAGATCCATGATGGGAGAAAGAACTCTTGTCTGTTGGAGGTAGGTATGAATGTTTCAATTGGCCACCTTGATTGCCATTTCATAGCCTGACAGTTTTTAGGGAGAATCCTTTGTTGAGAGGTGATTAGCTGGCCCTGATTGTTTCTTGTCTGGAGTTCCCCTGTGTTTGAGTGTGGTTTTTTATTTACAGTTATAATTTTAGAGTTTTTTAAATACTGGTAGCCAGATTTTGTTCAGACTAGAAATAGGAAGATTTCCCCTTCTCTGCTCCTGGAATTACTGCCTCAAGAGGGCGAGAAAGAACCCCCTCCCTCTCAGGGCCCTTCCACACCGCAAAATAAGATATCTGCAATGTGCAGAGGGATTTTTTAATTGATTAAAAAAAAAAACTATAGTCCGGCCCTCCATCGGTCTGAGGGACAGTAAACTGGCCCCCGGTTTAAAAAGTTTGAGGTCCCCTGGTCATGGGAATTCTGTGTACCAAGTTTGGTTCAATTCCATCGTTGGTGGAGTTCAGAATGCTCTTTGATTGTAGGTGAACTATAAATCCCAGCAACTACAACTCTCAAATGACAAAATAAATCCTCCCCAACCCCACCAGTATTTAAATGCGGGCATATTAGGTATCCGTGCCAAATTTGATCCAGTGAATGAAAATACACCTGCATAACAGATATTTACATTATGGTTCATAACAGTAGCAAAATGACAGTTATGAAGTAGCAACAAAAATAATTTTATGGTTGGGGGTCACCACAACATGAGGAACTGTATTAAGGGGTCACGGCATTAGGAAGGTTGAGAAACACTGATTTAGAGGCTCCCAAGATTGCTGTCAGAGAACTTGTTCCATTGCATCCTGTCTCCAGGGCAGCAACAAGTTCGCTCCCTCCTCCCTATGACTTCCTCTTACATACTTATACATGAGCAACAGAAAGTACTGTGTTTTCTGATGATCTTTGGCGAGCCCTCTGACACCCACTCGCGACCCTCCAGGGGTCCCAACCCCCAGGTTAAGAAACGCTATCCTATGAGATTCTGGAGTTTGTATTTAGGGGAGATTTCGAAGTACTTTCTTTCCCCTAAACGTCCAATCCCACAGTTCCGTAGGATGGAACCATGGCTGCTAAAGTGGAATCATAGCACTATGATTTTGTCAGGTGAACGGACCCAATAGAATTGAGTTTTAACCCAACTTTCAACGGTTTTAAGTTTGTGGATTGCTCAATCGTATTTTAATGTTTTTTTGCTTAGGTTTTTGTAAATGTTTTATAATAAATTTGGATTAAATAATAATATTTATTTATTTATTTATTTATTTATTTACAGTATTTATATTCCGCCCTTCTCACCCCGCAGGGGACTCAGGGCGGATTACAGTATACACATATATGGCAAACATTCAATGCCAATTAGACATACAATGTATATAGACATACACAGAGGCTATTTAATTTTTTCTGGCCTCCAGGGGAGCTGTCGCTTTCATTGTCCATCTGTGACACTGATGAAGTACTTCCGCATTCCCCACATGCTTTGCTGGAGTCTTTTTTATGGCCTCATAAATTAGTTAATTTAGCCTCCCCACACAAGGTGGTACCTAATTTTCCTACTTGAAAGATGCAACACCAAATAGCCAATACTCCAGAGGACAGGAGCAGGGATAGCCAATCCCTGAGGGATAGCCAATACTCCAGAGGACAGGAGCAGGATTCAAAATGATCTTGACAGATGAGAGAGATGGTTGGCCAAAACTAACAAAATGAAGTTCAACAGGGACAAATGCAAGATACTCCACTTAGGCAGGAAAAAACGAAATGCAAAGATACAGAATGGGGGACAATGCCTGGCTCGAGAGCAGTACGTGTGAAAAAGATCTTGGAGTCCTCGTGGACAACAAGTTAAACATGAGCCAACAATGTGATGTGGTGGCAAAAAAAGCCAATGGGATTTTGGCCTGCATCAAGAGGAGCCTAGTGTCTAGATCTAGGGAAGTCATGCTCCCCATGCTCTATTCCGCTTTGGTTAGACCACACCTGGAATATTGTGTCCAATTCTGGGCACCACAATTCAAGAGAGATATTGACAAGCTGGAATGTGTCCAGAGGAGGGCGACTAAAGTGATCAAGGGTCTGGAGAACAAGCCCTATGAGGAGCGGCTTAAGGAGCTGGGCATGTTTAGCCTGAAGAAGAGAAGGCTGAGAGGAGATATGATAGCCATGTATAAATATGTGAGAGGAAGCCACAGGGAGGAGGGAGCAAGCTTGTTTTCTGCTTCCCTGGAGACTAGGACGCGGAACAATGGCTTCAAACTACAAGAGAGGAGATTTCATCTGAACATGAGGAAGAACTTCCTGACTGTGAGAGCCGTTCAGCAGTGGAACTCTCTGTGAGTGTGGTGGAGGCTCCTTCTTTGGAAGCTTTTAAACAGAGGCTGGATGGCCATCTGTCAGGGGTGATTTGAATGCAATATTACTGCTTCTTGGCAGAAGGGGGTTGGACTGGATGGCCCATGAGGTCTCTTCCAACTCTTTGATTCTATGATTCTACGAACTGTCTTTCGGGTTGCAAAGGTCGACAACAGGCTACACAATTGGTTGGAAGCCCACTCCAACCTGGGCTGGCTTTGAACTCATGACCTTTTTGGACAGAGTGATCTTAATGCAGCTGACACTCAGCCAGCTACGCCACAATTATTATTATTATTATTATTATTATTGTTATTATTATTATTAAGATGCTTTGAGTTCCAATACTGTGGGGCAAAAGCAGGACATCAATGAAGAAATAGCAGTGTAACAACAACACATTTTTGACATTGTTATCTTACAAGGCTGGGCACGGGAAGATGTTACAAGGTTCTTCTTCAGGACTGGGCTTGGTACTGGTATCACAATAACTTTCGGAGATCTCCTCATGTGTGTTTCTGTTCACGCAATGGAAGACGGGATACTGTGAACCTGGAAGGATAACAAACAAAATGATATATTTATTGTCGAAGGCTTTCATGGCCGGAATCACTGGGTTGTTGTAGGTTTTTCCAGGGCTATATGGCCATGTTCTAGAGGCATTTTCTCCTGACGTTTCGCCTGCATCTATGGCAAGCATCCTCAGAGGTAGTGAGGTCTGTTGGAATTAGGACAATGGGTTTATATATCTGTGGAATGGCTGGGGTGGGGCACAGAGCTCTTCTTTGCTGGAGCTAGGTGTGAATGTTTCAACTGACCACCTTCATTAGCATTTGAAGGCCTGGCTGAGCCTGGGAAAATGTTTTGTTGAGAGGTGTTAAGATGTGCCTGGTTGTTTCCTCTCTGCTGTTTTGCTGTTGTAATTAAAACAGCAAAACAGCAGAGAGGAAACAACCAGGCAAAATGTTTTGTTGAGAGGTGTTAAGATGTGCCTGGTTGTTTCCTCTCTGCTGTTTTGCTGTTGTGATTAAAACAGCAAAACAGCAGTGAGGGAACAACCAGGCAAAATGTTTTGTTGAGAGGTGTTAAGATGTGCCTGGTTGTTCCCTCTCTGCTGTTTTGCTGTTGTGATTACAACAGCAAAACAGCAGAGAGGGAACAACCAGGCAAAATGTTTTGTTGAGAGGTGTTAAGATGTGCCTGGTTGTTCCCTCTCTGCTGTTTTGCTGTTGTGATTAAAACAGCAAAACAGCAGTGAGGAAACAACCAGGCAAAATGTTTTGTTGAGAGGTGTTAAGATGTGCCTGGTTGTTCCCTCTCTGCTGTTTTGCTGTTGTGATTAAAACAGCAAAACAGCAGTGAGGAAACAACCAGGCAAAATGTTTTGTTGAGAGGTGTTAAGATGTGCCTGGTTGTTTCCTCTCTGCTGTTTTGCTGTTGTGATTAAAACAGCAAAACAGCAGTGAGGAAACAACCAGGCAAAATGTTTTGTTGAGAGGTGTTAAGATGTGCCTGGTTGTTCCCTCTCTGCTGTTTTGCTGTTGTGATTACCACAGCAAAACAGCAGAGAGGGAACAACCAGGCAAAATGTTTCGTTGAGAGGTGTTAAGATGTGCCTGGTTGTTCCCTCTCTGCAGTTTTGCTGTTGTGATTACAACAGCAAAACAGCAGAGAGGGAACAACCAGGCACATCTTAACACCTCTCAACGAAACATTTTGCCTGGTTGTTCCCTCTCTGCTGTTTTGCTGTGGTAATCACAACAGCAAAACAGCAGAGAGGGAACAACCAGGCACATCTTAACACCTCTCAACAAAACATTTTGCCTGGTTGTTTCCTCACTGCTGTTTTGCTGTTGTGATTACAACAGCAAAACGGCAGAGAGGGAACAACCAGGCAAAATGTTTTGTTGAGAGGTGTTAAGATGTGCCTGGTTGTTCCCTCTCTGCAGTTTTGCTGTTGTGATTACAACAGCAAAACAGCAGAGAGGGAACAACCAGGCAAAATGTTTCGTTGAGAGGTGTTAAGATGTGCCTGGTTGTTCCCTCTCTGCAGTTTTGCTGTTGTGATTACAACAGCAAAACAGCAGAGAGGGAACAACCAGGCAAATCTTTTGTTGATAGGTGTTAAGATGTGCCTGGTTGTTTCCTCTCTGCTGTTTTGCTGTTGTAATTAAAACAGCAAAACAGCAGAGAGGAAACAACCAGGCAAAATGTTTTGTTGAGAGGTGTTAAGATGTGCCTGGTTGTTCCCTCTCTGCTGTTTTGCTGTTGTGATTAAAACAGCAAAACAGCAGTGAGGAAACAACCAGGCAAAATGTTTTGTTGAGAGGTGTTAAGATGTGCCTGGTTGTTCCCTCTCTGCTGTTTTGCTGTTGTAATTACAACAGCAAAACAGCAGAGAGGAAACAACCAGGCACATCTTAACACCTCTCAACAAAACATTTTTCCAGGCTCAGCCAGGCTTTCAAATGCTAATGAAGGTGGTCAGTTGAAACATTCACACCTAGCTCCAGCAGAGAAGAGCTCTGTGCCCCACCCCAGCCATTCCATAGATATATAAACCCATTGTCCTAATTCCAACAGACCTCACTCCCTCTGAGGATGCTTGCCATAGATGCAGGCGAAACGTCAGGAGAAATGCCTCTAGAACATGGCCCTATAGCCCGAAAAAACCCACAAGAACCAAATTGATATATATTTATTTGAAATACTATTTAACATCAGGCACATTTAATCGCGGGTGGATTGATATAATGCCATCAGTGTACACGATGCCTATTTCGAGCTACATAAACAGAAACGGCACCGTGGAATCGAAAACATTGTTCTCCAAATTAAACGCTGTGCATAGTTGTAAACACAATCGCTGCAAAACGGCTAAACACATGTTGAAAGATGGAGGCGTAATAAAATCATGTTCCAACGGTTTAGCGTGTTGGATTGCTTATTCAGATCCAGATAGGTCATTAAATACCAAAGTCAAAATCATTCACGCTGCGTTTCCAATTTCTATGGATGGGTGTGAAAACTGGACTGTAAAGAATGCTGGCAGAAGATTAACTCGTCTGAAATGTTTGCAGGGGGAAGAGTTCAGTGGATATCATGGATGGCCAAAAAATAAATGGATGAGTCCTGGAGCAAAACAGGCCCCTCACTCTCAGTATAGATGATGTATTGTCGAAGGCTTTCATGGCCGGAATCACTGGGTTGTTGTAGGTTTTCCGGGCTGTATGGCCATGGTCTAGAGGCATTCTCTCCTGACGTTTCGCCTGCATCTATGGAAAGCATCCTCAGAGGTAGTGAGGTCTGTTGGAACTAGGAAAATGGGTTTATATATCTGTGGAATGACCAGGGTGGGACAAAGGACTCTTGTCTGCTGGAGATAGGTGTGAATGTTTCAACTTAATGTTAATTAAGGTGGTCATTTTCCTAGTTCCAACAGACCTCACTACCTCTGAGGATGCTTGCCATAGATGTAGGCAAAACGTCAGGAGAGAATGCCTCTAGACCAGTGTTTCTCAACCTGGGGGTCGGGACCCCTGGAGGGGTCGTGAGGGGGTGCCAGAAGGGTCACCAAAGACCACCAGAAAACACAGTATTTTCTGTTGGCTGTGGAGGTTCTATGTGGGAAGTTTGGCCCAATTCAATCGGTAGGAATTATGCGCCCGTACCTTGGGAAGTCTGACTTGGCCACGGTAGTCCACGCTCTAGTTACATCCCGTTTAGACTACTGCAATTCTCTCTACGTGGGATTGCCCTTGAAGACGGCTCAGAAGCTCCAATTGGTCCAATGTGCGGCAGCCATGATACTAACAGGAGCGGGGCGCAGGGAGCATACAACCCCCCTGCTGTACCAGCTCCACTGGCTGCCGATCTGCTACCGGGCTCAATTCAAGGTGCTGGCATTGGCCTTTAAAGCCCTAAACGGTTCTGGCCCAAGATACCTAACTGACCGCCTCTCGGCCTATGAGCCCACAAGGACTTTGAGATCTTCTGGGGAGGCCCTGCTCTCGATCCCGCCTGCGTCACAGGCACGGCTGGCGGGGACGAGAGATAGGGCCTTCTCGGTGGTGGCTCCTCGGCAGTGGAACACCCTTCCCGTAGACATCAGGCTAGCCCCCTCCCTGTTGATATTCCGCAGGAAGCTAAAGACCTGGTTGTTTAAGAAGGCATTTGAATAGAAGTGCAATGACTGGTAACTCGACCATAGGAATGGAACAACGGAAATGGTATCGGATTGTGGGTTTGACGATGAGACGATTCGGAATGGCTTTTGTAGTAATGTTGATGTTTTTGATGAGATGTTTTGATAATGATGTACTGTGGATTATTTTATTTTATGTTCTATTTTGCACCTGTTTTTCTATGTTGTACACCGCAATGAGTCGCCATTAGGCTGAGAATTGCAGTATATAAGCGAAGTAAATAAATAAATAAATAAATAGGGTTCAGAATGCTCTTTGATTGTAGGTGAACTATAAATCCCAGCAACTATAACTCCCAAATGTCAAGGTCTATTTTGCCCAAACTCCACCAGTGTTCACATTTGGGCATATTGAGTATTCGTGCCAAGTTTGGTCAAGATCCATCATTGTTTGAGTCCACAGTGCTCTCTGGATGTAGGTGAACTACAACTCCCAAAACTCAAGGTCAAACCCTTCCAGTATTTTCTGTTGGTCATGGGAGTTCTGTGTGCCAAGTGTGGTTCAATTCCATCGTTAGTGGAGTTCAGAATGCTCTTTGATTGTAGGTGAACTATAAATCCCAGCAACTACAAATGTCAAGGTCTATTTTCCCCAAACTCCACCAGTGTTCACATTTGGGCATATTGAGTATTCGTGTCAAGTTTGGTCCAGATCTATCATTGTTTGAGTCCACAGTGATCTCTGGATGTAGGTGAACTACAACTCCCAAACTCAAGGTCAGTGCCCACCAAACCCTTCCAGTATTTTCTGTTGGTCATGGGAGAACTGTGTGCAAAGTTTGGTTCAATTCCATCGTTGGTGGGGTTCAGAATGCTCTGTGATTGTAGGTGAACTATAAATCCCAGCAACTACAACTCCCAAATGTCAAGATTCGATTTTCCCCAAACTCCACCAGTGTTCACATTTGGGCATATTGAGTATTCGTGTAGAGTTTGGTCCAGATCCATCATTGTTTGAGTCCACAGTGATCTCTGGATGTAGGTGAACTACAACTCCAAAACCAAAGGACACTGCCCACCAAACCCTTCCAGTATTTTCTGTTGGTCATGGGGTTCTGTGTGGGAGGTTTGGCCAAATTCTATCATTGGTGGGGTTCAGAATGCTCTGTGATTGTAGGTGAACTATAAACCCCAGCAACTACAGCTCCCAAATGTCAAGATTCTATTTTCCCCAAACTCCACCAGTGTTCACATTTGGGCATATTGAGTATTCATGTAGAGTTTGGTCCAGATCCATCATTGTTTGAGTCCACAGTGATCTCTGGATGTAGGTGAACTACAACTCCAAAACCAAAGGACACTGCCCACAAACCCAGTATTTTCTGTTGGTCATGGGAGAACTGTGTGC